GCATCACCATCCTAAATGGCAGGCCCCTTCCCTCAGATATGTGGCAAACTGAAAGACAGACACTGAAGATGTCATGCACCCACAATGCTGTCTGAGATGGAGCAGGTTCTCATGCATGCTCTGAATTTTCAGTTCGTATCCAGAGAGCCATTTTGTTTTCAGTCACTCAGGAAACAGCCCCACAGAAAAATACAGTAACTTACACTGCTTCACTGATCAATACATTTGTTTTAAGGCCTCCAAATAGCATCACACAGACTTAGTACCTGCATGGCAGGCTGTTTATTTTGTGATGGTAATAGAATCTAATGAGAAAATAATTTTAGGATTGTGCAAGGTCAGTCTTACACCAATCCTGTGGTGAGTTGGACAAGTACAGACACCCGTGCTCTTCCTGCAGGCATGCAGTTGCTTAGCCTATCATTCCTAGAATGTTGGGATGCTGGAATGCAAAATATGGAAAACTGTCAGGCTTCTAGCAAGTTGTCACCACCAGTGAAAACAGGGCAAAGTTGAGGCTGTGTTATTTACAAAAACAGCAGAAGAGTTGTATAGATCCATATCCCCAGGGAAGAGTGTTGTGCACTGCAGCCAAGGTTTCCTATTCTCCTCCTTGTTGCTAGGAATGTTGTCCAAGGCTCTTTTCTGACCCATGTGCCAAATCCACTGTGTGTTTCTACCCAACATCTGCTGCACATGAGTTCTCTGCCTTTCCTTGGAGAGGGCCTGGAGGGCAGGTCCATGATCAGCCTCCACGGTACACTGTGTGCTGGCTACTCCTGTATAATGCAAACTTTGTTTTGCACCAGCTTTGTTCAGAGCACCAGTAACCACCCTCCCTTCCTTACCAGCCATAAAGAAAAAGCAGTTCACCCGAGTTGGAGATAATGCACTTTTTTAGATATTCCAGTAAGCTGTATGGTTATAGCTCTCTTCAAGCCAAGTTGCATCTTGTCTCATCAGGAAAGTTTAAGGTAAGTGCTGAGCACCTGTGGCCATCTCAGGGCAGAAGGCTGAAGGCCACTCATTCTTGTACTCTGCCTCTGGGAACTGGGAGGGGGGCAGCAGAGGAAAAGGAAACTTAAGCTGAAGTGTTGACTTAAAGCAGCATTTTGTGCCAAGAGCTCAGGCAATTCTGAATCAGAAGCTGTTTCCTTCCCAGGGTCATGATACCCTAAAAGATGTGGAAGGCAACAAAAGTCCTACAATTCTGTAAGCCTTGCACCACTGGCAGAGCTGGCCAGTACCCCACACTAGCAGCACCCATCCAAGGAAGGATGCTGGTGGGACAGGCAGGCTCTGCACAGCAGCTGGATACAAGGAAATAAATTTTCACAGTGCAAGGTGTTAAAATGCTGGACTAGGCACCCAGGAAGGCTGCATAATCCTGGAGACTGCAGCACTGAAAGGATGAGGCTCTGAACAATCTTGGGAGAAAGCCCTGTTTGAACAGTGACAGGACTGGTGCCCTCCAGGGGTCACTGCCAGCCTCAATCACTCTAGAAGCCCATAGTAAAAAGCCAGTCTTGTGCCAGGTTTCAAAGTACAATTGGTGACTGGAGCATGAAGAGGCCCAAAAGTTCTTGAATTCAGCACAGAAGCTGTGTTTGATCTCAATGGCTTTTATTTTAGGATAAACTTGACCTGCCAGTGTCACTATTTCAGTGAATTATTGACAAATTGTGGCACTGGGTGCAAACTGGTGCTAAATCAGCTCTGTGCACGCAGTGGACACAGTGGCTGGTTGTTTCTGTGCAGAGTTGCTGGGTTCAGCTGGTCTCCCTGTTCCTCTCTCTCACTCATTCCTTGTGAGTCAATGAGTGATCATTGCACAATGTTCCTCTGCAAATGAATGTTTGAAGAGGCCTTGGCTGGATTGCACAACCCTGCTTGGTCAATACCTCCTGGAACACTCCTGTCTGCTGAGAGCTCACATGAGGGCTGGCACATGAGTCACAGCGTGACTATCTTGACTAACCAGGGGAGGCCACAGATCACCAGGCTGGGCTGCTTCCTTTTCACCTGGGCTGCAGCATGAGGAAGCCCCATGGAAAAGCCAATAAACAAAATCCCATGGAGTCTTTAAAAATACCCTTTTCATTCCCACATTTTACTTCTTTTTTTCACACCATCCAAAATGTCAGATACCTGCCCAGAGCAGTGCAGGACCCTGGGCACCAAGGTTCAGAGCAAGGGACATGCTGAACTGCTGCAGCAATCTCCATGCTGGAGAATCAGCACTTTGCCAGGGTCACCAAAACAATGGCATGTTTGTTCCAGGCTGTTTCTGTGTGACCCTGGTGCAGGCAGAGCCTAAGTGCCACCACTAAGCTGTGAGCTTGGAGAGGCAGCATCCTTCTTTATCCTGGGTGATCCAAAATACCATCATATGGGTCATCTCCCAGCTTATGTTCCCTGACATAAACTGTGGCCACGTCACCCCTGTACTTCAGAGATGTATGTTTAATGAAATGTTGCTGCTGGTTTATATGATGGTACTGAACAAGCCAGTTGCCCCACAGCCTCTGAGCACGCTCTGTTCTGCACTGAGCCATAGCACAGGGACTTCCTTCCAGGCAGCTCACAGCCAAGCAAAGTAATTTGCATTACTATCGATAATCTCTGGGTTTGGGAGAGCCATGGCAGTTCTTGCAAATCAAATTAGAGCTTTGCAGTAGGTATGCCAGAGGAAAATGTTGCATGTGCAATTTGAGAAAAACCCGCATAAAGTTGCATGGTACTCCTTGCATTTCAAAAACTGGGATCTACAAGTCTGATTTTGAGTCTGGACATTAGTAAATTTAGGTCTGAGCCCATTCAGATTGCAATGATTTCCACACTCTTTCCACAGGCTTCACTGACCTGCTCTGTCCAATACTTCTCCCTAGCCCCAAGGTCCAGATGGTGACTCAGATGTCCCAGAACACTGTGAGGTGCTGGAGTGCTTCACTTCATCAATCAGTTGCTTGACCCTGGCTGGTGCAAAGTCCAGTTGCTCTGCAGAAATATCCAGCAGATCAGTCCTAGCTTCTTTCCTTCCATGTTTCTAATTTGACCTCTTACCCATCAGATTACTTTTAGGCTCATTGACTGTGAATGTTATAATATAATAACTTGATCAGGCCAAGGATTAGGGGAGCATCAGGAGAGGCCCCAGTGCTCCCCTGGAACTCCAGCACATCCCTGGCAATGGCAACATGCTGGGGGACAGACTGAGGGCAGGAGAGCTGGAGACCACTCCTACTCCAGCACCACTGAGGCAGGGTCTAACAGCCCTGGCAGGCTGAAGTGGGGTCCTGGACCATGGGCAAGGTGGGTGGGCACTGGGGAGGCTCTGGAGACAGCCACACCTGTGTGAGTGCCCTCAGGGCCCTGAGAGCAGCATCACCTCCCAGATCTGGAAACTTGTGTCTCAGGTTTAGCCCCAGCATGCCAAGTGCCACCCTGAGAGCAGCCCAGGCTCCCAGCAGGAGCACAGAGCCCTGCAGGAGGGTGATGGCAGCATGAGAGAAGGCTTCAGCTCTGGCATCCTGCAGACGTGCTGCCCAGAGGAAGGCAGAGGTGCCAACAGCTGCACATAGCAGAAATAACCATGTCAGCAGTGCTGTCATGCACTGCAAGCTCTGCACGTGATACCCTCAAAACCAAGATTGCTGTTATTCACTGTTCCTCATTCTTGGTTGTTGTCCCTTCCCAACAAGATGTGCACACAGCCCATGCTGGCAGTGCACAACACTGGTTTGCTATCTGTATGCAGATTTGACTACAGCTGGGGCACGTAGACATGGACATTTATTTCAACCCCAGAGACTGAGAGAGGGACCAGCTTTATGTAACACCCTTTTATCCTTGGAGCTTCAGGAATAAGGCAGAGACCTTGGGCCCAAGGTGCCCTAAATCTCTTTTTAATGTTATTGGGAGGAAACAATATCAAGTTTGAGTAAAACACCTTTTTGTAATCAGAGCTTTGCTAGGCCTGATTCCAAGTTGTTGGAGCTGCAGTGGAGGTTACTGACTTCCTGCATGCAAACAACCCAGTATTTTCTGTTTGCAGTGGGAATCTTGCCTGTGTCAAGGCACCCAGAAGACACAGACCTGTCTTGCAGTTAAGGCTCCTGTTTCCATTCTCCAATCCTGAAAAATTGTTTTCAAATTCAATGAAATGCATTTTTGTATTGATTCAGTATATTCTGTGGGATTTTTTTTGTTCAGGGAAATTTAAGTCTGTAATGACTGAATGACTAAAAGCACACTTAGAAAGGAGAATTAGAAAGTTCTGTCTGCAACAGCCTGAATTTATTGAAGTAATAACCTGGTGGGAATTACAGCTAGGATAACACTTGTGAAAATGACAGCCATGTAAAAAGGGATTTGTATTTAATTCTAACTCCTTTTGACTTTCAAGTTTTAATCTGTTTTGATATATACATGAGGCAAATTATTAAGTTCTTTACAAAGACTTATTTTAAAATAATTGCACCATATCATACATTATAATAAATACACAATTAACCAGACATTATCAAACAACCAACATGAATAAAACTGCTGTACATTTAAAACTGATGGTGAAGATTTTGAATCTTTAGTAAAAATACATTGATGAAAATGCCTGCTACCAGATTTGCGTGACAGATAGAATGCAAAAACCATATTCTTAGTAAAAGTACAGGGTCATCTTGCACTGCTTGTAATTATGTGGATTTCAAAGGCAAAGACATGTTGTTGACAACAAGACAGAGATGGAGTTCTTCTACAGGTGGCACCCTTATGCCACTGAATGCATCAGACAAGACCCAGTTTATTCAAACTTGGTAAATAGATACCATCAAGCACAAACACAGTCTTACCTTCAAACAGACTGAGGTGTGTGCAGGCCTTTCAAATGCCTTGTGCACAGATGTGGTTCACACCTGTCATTGTTTATTATAAAGTAAATGTCCACTTTTTTGCAAGCTCTCTGTATTTTCTCTACTGTTCATTTGCATTCTGCAGTGTTGGCTGGTTGCAGCTGAGAGGTTCTGAGGCTTGATACTTCAAGTTTTCCAGAGGATGAACATTCTCCTGAATGCTTCTTTTACTTCTGCAAATGACCTCTACCGAGAAATGCCGTGTGTTCAGACACCATCTTCAATTAGCCCATCTGCCCTATGTTGAAGGCCACACTCCAGAGAACTTCCAAGGTCTGCAGATACCAGAGGATCTCACAAGGTAAAATATCCAGCTCTTCCAGGATGACAGCAAAGACGGAAAAAAACCAGCATGGCACTTAGGAAAAGTCTGACTCTTTGACAATTGGAATTGGTGGGGTTTTATGGTCAATTGGTTTATAAATAAAATTAAAATCTTTCTTGGTTTCACTCTTCAGAAGGGAGGCTTTGATATGATGTGGAAGGGCATCTTTGTCCAGCTGCAGCCACTGGTCATCAACATAAACAAAGAGTCCATAGTCCTTGGGATGAGACACTTCAAACTTCTCGGCACACTGCTGGCTCAGCTGCTCAGCTGTGGTGTCGCGACGGGAAGCAAGTGTCCTTGATTGACCACTGACTTCCAGAAAGGAGATACAGATGAAATCCTGAAGAGAAACATTAGGAGAGACCTAATGTTAACACAGTAACCTGGGACTGAAGGAGGAAGAATTCAGTCACAAAGCTCTAGGTGCCTAGAGCTCCCAAATATCCTCCAGTCATTCTCCAGTGTCCTAGTTATTCTCTCCTTTCTTTCCTCTGTCAGGCTCTGAATCAGAAAATACTTAAATAAGCACTTTACCAAATAATTAGCACCACAACGACACTGAAGTTAAAGTGTTTTTTTCTGATTTTACTGAATATCCTTAGAGAATTATCTGCAATAGTTCATTCTCCCGCCTTTTTACAGCTCCTGAAGAAAGAATTTGCAAAGAAGTGACAGACAAGAAAAACAGACCACAAATGTCACAGATCTGACCTAAAACCCCTCTGTTTCACAAAAATGGGATAGGGCTAGCAGTGTTGTGGCCTTGCAACTTCACAGTCACCCAAACAGCATTTTGAGAGTGTGTCCTCTGAACTTCCTTCCATCAGTAAGGAAATAGCACAAGTTATGCTGAGTATGCTGAGAAGGCTGATTTACTTGTATCCTGTTTCAGGCAGTAACAGCTGTTGTGACAGCTTTCATCTTGCTAAACACATAAGGAACAGACTCTGCAAGAGCTTTTGGTCACAGTGGAACCTGTGTGTTTATTTGCATCTGTGAACTTCAAAACAAATCCCAACCGTTTTGTTCAGAAAATAATGAGGTTCCCTGGCAGAAGGGGAATTTCCAAATGCGTGCACTATGGGCTTCCAAACCACATTTAAGGAGTATCACTGCAGTGGATTAAGGCAGGCAAAAGGATGGACAGAGGCCTGCTGAACATATCAGCAATTGGTCTAGCTCTGTCAGAACGGGCTTTCATGTTTCTGATACTAGCACTCATTCAAAGGGGTGGAAAATTGCCCTTCAGCTGCTGGAGATGGTGGGAATCTTCTGGGGAAATGTGTCATTTGTTCGCTCAGCTATTATGCTCCATGCTAGGTACTTCTGTGAGCTACTGCCAGAGCAGCACTCAGGGCTGGATGGATATTTGCTGTACCTCCATACACCAGTTACAGTTTCTGAGGTCATCAGGGACTGGTTTGACTGAAATATGGGAAACCTGTTCAACTCCATGCTTTCACATGGACTACTCTCCCCCACAGGAGACTTTCCCCAGGCTTTCCCCTCGGCATGCACAATTTACAGTTCTGCGCTGTGAACGCTGCAGAACGTGAGACGTGGCCTTTGCTGCCTCCCTGTGGGTGACAATTTGATCACAGCACATGGGGCTGGCAGGGTATCCTGCCTGCCTGGACCAGCCTCACCACGGGCCCAGAGCACTCATCTGTCCTGGGACCCCCTCCCACTGGTGCACGGGGAGATATTTGCCAGGCCATGCACAGTATGGGCTTCAAAACTAGCCCGACCTTGATGGGTATTTCTGGCTGCCAGACAGGCTCTGGAAGATGCTTGACCGACTGGCTCTTGGGATGTCTCAGACCCTCCTACAGCTTTATGCCATCTAGAAGCAGCCCTGCATAGCCTGCTCACATCTCAGTTTAGCCCATGATTTCCCCAGGCATTAAGGGCGATGATTAAGAGGGGCTTCTGAGTCCCCACCAGAGTTCCCACATGCAAAGGCTCCTAAGCACATCTCCTTTGAGAATTAACAAAAAAATCACTTTGCAGTCATATTTAAAATGACAATATTATAAGTGTACTTCAAGATTTCAAAATTTATTTCATAAGTAGTATCTATTTCAAATGTGGTGTGTTTTTTAAGATCTGGAAACCTTGCCCCAGATGTACTCTTTTTTTTTAATAGTGATTTCAATTAATTTAATTTTAAAATAATTACCATATTAAAGATTTCTAAGTATGGAGAAAGCATGCAGGCTTTCCCCCTAGGGTGGAAATAATAATGCTGGCTACCTGCACTGATGAGCGGGAAGCCCGGGCCTTGTTCAGCGTTCTCCGTCGCTCCCAGCGGTGGATGGAGTCCTGAACCTCCACGCTCAGCTGCCGGGTCACAGTGATTTTGTCATAGTTCTTGATATGCTCCAGGACCCCGTAGGTGGTGGTTAAATAATAGGAGCCTGCAAAAGGTGAAAGCTTTGTATGAACATCACACCTTCATGGGCCATGCGGTCCCGCTCCCACCCGGGGCAGCTGTCCGACTTTGCACTGCCTGTGCCACGTGGAGGCGGCGCGGGGGTCACGCGTGTTAACGAGTGATGGGCACCCTGTGACCAGCCTCAGCCCCTCCTGCTCCACAGCAGTGCTGCTGCCCAGACTGCTGGGGCAGGAGATGGCCTGGGAGAGGACACAGGCTGAAAGGAAAGAGCTATAAAAACTGCTTTCACAAACAAGCCCTAGCCATAGATGTTTATTCTTTGAGCCATGGCCATTTTTTTTTTTGTTGTGTTTGACAGCGTCCATACAACAGGTCTGTAACTTGGGCTCCTGAGTAGACCCCACGCAATGCGGGGAAATAGAAATAATAGTAGATTACTGCAGGAGAGGCACAAAGCCTGGGTCCAGTCCCCCAGCTCCACCTACACTTACTCGCATGTCTGGGCTCAACACTGTTGAGGGACATATCAGACCTGCAGGAACAAGTCATCCTCTGTCCCCTCCATTCTCTATTGACTACACAGGCATCCCAGCCATTCATCTGTAATTCCTGGACTGTTCAGGGCTGCGGGATAAATCTCGGTAACGCAGAGAAACAGGGCAAAGTGGCAAAAGCCCAGTTCCCTCAGAACGCCGCGGCTGCTGCGGCGCTGCTTGCAGCAGTAAATAAATAAATAAATAAATAAATAAATAAATAAATAAATAAATAAATAACCGGGTGCCGCCACGGGGCGGCGGCCGGGCCCTGCCAAACCCGGCTGCGGCCACAGAGGTGCAGCGAGCCCTGACAGGGACAGAGCCAGCGCCCCGCTCGCAGGCCAGCCCCGAGGCAGGGCTGCTCCGGCCTCGGCAGAGGGCAGGGCAGCGGGGGCCATGCCCTGCTCCGGCCGCGGCTCCCGCTGCCTGGCGAACGGGAACAGCCCAGCGCTGTCCTGGGCGGCTTCGTTCCGGCCGCAGTGACTCTAGATGGCACTCGCACATCGCCCGTCCTCCGGCGCTGCTCGGCCCGTGGGCGGCGCGGCCGCCTGCTCCGGGCAGCAAAGACAGCGCTTGGTTTGCGAGCAGTATTTTTAGAGCACCATGAAAGCGTTCCGGAGGAGAGGAGAGACCAAGACACTGCCACCAAGACACTGACACTGACTTTTCCTGTACTCTGGTGGATCGAGGGGGTTATCCTACAGTTTTGAAGGTTTTTGCCCAAACCACTCATTTTTCTTTACTGTCTCCCCCAGAGAGGTGTTGAGAATAGACTAAGAAATCTAAAAGTGCCACTTTTCTTCTCTTAAATATGGTTACTACCCTCCTTTGTCTGTCATTCAATATTTCTTCTCTTCTGGCTGAGTCAGAAGTAGCTGTAATGGGACCCAGAGCAGGGTGTATCCCTTCCCTCAGAACCCTAGGAGGAAGTGCTCTGGGTCCCCCACAACAGGAATTAATCACATTTCTTTTAAGAATTAAGTTTTTGCCCACTTCTAATTTCTTTATTTCCATCCAGTTGTTGCCTACTATCTGTCCATGTCTTTGCCCCAGTATTCAGCGTCAGTGTTGCTATTAAATGAATTCAAAGGGTATTTTTCACTTGGAGGCAAAATTGAAATGATTTTATAAATTGATTTATGAAATTTCCCAGTTTTTTTCACTTTTGTTTTACTTCTTTCCCTTTAATTTCTGTACCTGAACACCTTTTGGTATTCAACTTTGAAAGGCCTAACTCAAGTTAACTTTTGCCAGTTCTACATTTTGCAATCTCAGAACTGTCTTCACTGCAATGTTCTCTTTTTTCCCCCATTCCTCATATTTGCAGTTGCGCTCACTGTCCTTTCTGATGTGATTATTCAGTCAGTTTGATTTGTAACTCCCTCACAAAATTTTCCCTTTTGACTTGAGTGCACATTTCACAAAGTCTTTGCATCTTTGAGCTAAGAGAACTTCCAGCCAGCTTTACTTTTGATATCCTGAACTCCCCAACCCAGATGACTTCAGTAGCCAGCCTGGCAGTGTGCCCCTTTGGAATGTAGAACCTGTGTGCACAGTAGTCACCAAAAGCAGCTTGGTTATGTCCACAAAATGCTGTGTTTCAGCTAACATTTTTTTTTCTGCTAAGAATTCTTTTCAGCAGAAAAACTAGCCTGTGCAGAAACACGTTATTAATGTACTGTATTGCTGCTAATCATCCTATTAGTATTTATTTTTGTCCCACTCTGCACTGTGCTGGGATGACATGCTTACTTTCAGACTTATATCCTCATTTAATGTAAATAAAATTAGTCTGCTGTTGTTCATCCAAGACTCCTTTCTAGAACCTCAGTACTTACCAAAGCAAAGTCTAAAATAAACCCCATTTTATTAGTTTAGTGACTACTTGGTGATAAATGATCTGTGTTCCTAATTCAGAGTGTGTAATTTTCACTTGGGAAGCATGTGCTTTCCAAGCTATATTTAAGAAACTAGGGGCCCACAGTTCCCTGGGGCATTTATCTCTCTGATAACAGAGGTCTTTAGTCACTTCCAATATTCACTCAATATTCCTCTCTAACCTAACTTTATTTTCTCTGTCTCGCTATGATGCTCAGTCAGAGAACATTGTCAGAAGGTTCACTCAATTTTAGGAGTTAAGTGACCACGAGAATATAGCCCTCAGGCATACAATGCAGCTTAAAAATTGTGCTCTTTTCTCCTCACTGAAATAAATAAAAGTATCTGCCCAATTTTTTGCAGCAGATGTTTAATTTTAACAAAAAACTTTCTAGCTTTTCAGCCTTTGGACCAAGGAACACAAGATGTCTCTGTTTAGGTTGCTAATCCAGCACCTCAGTTATCATTTATGATGAGTGCCTGCCTTTCTAGCTTGTGTCTTAAGGCACTGCACTTCTAAAAGTAGTTAAAGTGTTTGGCAATAATTTTAGAGATTCAGATTTGAAGATTGGCCTAAAAATTATCCACAAACTCTAGCCAGAGCCCTGCTGCCCTACTTTCACAAACACTGAAGTGAGACAAATGATGATTTCCAAAGTGAATATCCCAAACACTGTACCCTTACCTTCTCCTAGCTGCAGAGCAGGGTCCATGAGCTCCATCATATACTCCACATTAAGAAGGACTTCAGTCAAGTTGCTGCGGGCCAACACATACATGAGCACAGGGAGGAAGTCATCTGCACCATAGGGCTTCCCTGAGCAAAGAGAAACACAACGTGGTCCCAATAACACCACAAAATCATGTTCCCACTACGGTGTCAGATTGTCATACAGTGAGTCCTTTGTAGACTTCAGCTTATGTTACTTGAAGAATTACAGCTCAAAAGCCCCAGCAAAGAAAAAAATGCTAAAACCAAAAATTTATATCACTTAGAAAGTAAGTAAGCTTGCTTTGAGCCCAAAATAGGATCTTGAAAATTAACTGGAGAAATACAATCTTAACTTAATTGATCACAAACAACTGGCAATTTTTGAAGAGTGCCAAGGCTTCCAGATTGTCCCTCTGATTTGATACTGACATCAAGACTGTAGTTCAGGTTGGCAATATTAGTAGGGAAATTGTCTACATGCATTAGGGGTATTTATTCTCTTAGGCTTACTCTATGTGTGATACCAAAAAACAGAAAATAGAATTTGAGACAGTGGTTTTAGGACTGGGGACTTCCACATTTATGCCCCTTCAGAAGGCAAAACATCACACTACATGATCCTAATTAAAACAGTCTCTCAAGAGCTAGGATCCAAGAGGAGTCATCTTTCTAACTGTGCAGTCTAGCTAAGAAAGCAGAAATATTTTTACATTGGACTTTAACCTAGTCTTTGGAATTGGTGTGCTGCAGATACTCAATATTTCCCATTCTTGAAACATTCATATCAACTAAGTTAACAAAGTGAACTAGCATACAGTCTTTAAGCTTTAAGAGCTCTTTGGGATCTCTGAGGACAAAAAAAGAAATGCATGTTAACATCATAATTATAAATAATTACTATTTAAAATAGAATCCACACTGAGGCTTCCCTTCATAAACCACAAAGAACACAAGGATAACTTTTTTCATTTGAAAGATACTTTCATTTTCAACCACCATGTCATAAAGTCATCATGGAAAACCCACAACAGCAAGTTTCTTACCAGACCAACATTCAGAATTGACCATTCCTCTTAATCTACTCTGCTTTCATTCAGAATGTCTTTCCCCAGACTGTGGGGAGTTCTTTCTCACCTGTGCAGAACTTGGATATGTTGATTTCACGGACTATGTGTGTGTAATTTAGGAATTGCTTGTCTCACCTCAAGGAATCAAAGCTACCCTTGGTGTAGTTTTGGTGAAATTACGCTCTAGCCATTTTTGGCCCATAGCACACATCCTCTTCCATGGCAGGGCATACATTCCTATTCTCAAATGTTCCCACTGACTTATTTCAGATATTTGCCATGAGTCAGATTTCTTTTTTTGTCATTCAGAGATGACGCAGATTCTCCACTGGCAAAGAAAGATATTCTTCTGAAGCCTCAAATAAACATGAGCTTAGCCCCTGATTTAAAAAAAAACAAAACAGTGTGGCTTTGAAATAAACCCAGTAATACATCGAGTGAACAGAGAGTTGATCCATTTAAAACCAAGAGTTAGAGAATGAGAGGTCATCAGGGCTGTAATTCAGTCTGTTTCTAACAAAGCCCACACACGCCACAACATAGACTATTTATTTAATGAAAGCTGGATTAACGCTTTCAAATTCTGATTGCTTTGTTATGGCTGCCTTTAGTTAAAAGACACAGCCTTAGGTCTTCAACAAAACTATAAATGGACTTCATTTTTCCATTAACATCTGGAGGGACATATTTTTGTCTGTTGTTCCCTTGGCTTATGTCTCTGTGAAAGCTTTAGCTCTGTGAAGGGTCTAATTCATTGCTGTCATATACATTACCTTAATACAAGCAGCTTAGTATTACAGCAGTTTAATATTTTCCAGGGTAGAAAAAAAAAATTACAGAACTGGAATATGAAAATGTAACAGAAAAACTTCACAGCAAAAAGCCCTAATCTCCTTTTGCTCCAAGTGCATCAGAGGCCAACAGAGTTAGTTCTAATTCAGACTAGTATAAAGGAATACAAAATACCAAAGATTTGTTAGGCTCCTTTTTCCCTTCATTGAAAACTTCTTCTTTGTGATCTAGTAGTTACAGACCAGCATGGATAGAATGATTCTAGTTTCCTGAAGGCCAAGGGATTTCCAGTACAACACCAGTAGCAGAATTTCCCCTTCTACTTCTCTTTCATGACTAATTCATGTAATGTCTGATAGGGCATCAAATAAAGTTGCTGCTTCACAGTATAGATTATTCCTCACTGGAAAAAAAAAAAAAAACAAACCCTGGGGTTGTTTGTTTGTTGGTTGGTTGGTTGGTTGCTGGTTTTTTGCATGTCACCAAAGCAGATCATGAACAGAGAACAGACTAACTAATGCAGAATGGAAACAGCAGCTTGGAACTAAACAATTCCATGTCCCCATTCATCAACTTCTGGTGGCTAAAGAAGTGAAAGTTAGAGGAGAATTCTCAAGAATGCCTACAGAATCTCTCCATTTCTTTTTTGTTGTCTGAGAAGTGGTTGTATGTACAATCATGCATAGAGACAATTCTTCTTCATGCTGTTTATCTCATTTCTATAAGTTGATTTAGCTGCTCTGCCCTCCAGTCCTTGGTATAAACTCTTCTCAACTTTAAGACTTCACAGAAATATTATTGGACTCGCAGCTGTTTATATGCCTTAAATATAAAATTTGATGTACAGTTTCTTTTTGAGTAATAAATGCTGAGCAGGGATATCTGACTGAAATAAAGGAAAGAACACGTGTTCCATATCTTGTATGCTCACAATCTGTGTAGATTTCTAGACACCACCTTAATCCACCCGTGGCTGTATGACACCCAACTTTAAATACCCGTGTCCGTAGCAAAAGCTGACGTCAGCAGGAGCAGAATGTGTCAGCACAGGAAAAGCAAAACTAATCACCAGTGATCTAGTTCTGACTCCATTTGGTGGTTTTTTTGTGTTGCCACAAACTTCCAGTGTGGCCAAGGGAGGTCAGGCATCATCTATTGCACCTTGTAAGCATCTCAATAGCATCTCTGCACTGACTGTGCACGGAGCAGAGCCTGAGAGGGCAGGACTCTGATTCTCCCCTGTTCTCCTGGCCCCTCCAGGTACAGGGACAAGCTTTGACATCTACAGCCATCAGACCAAGCATGGCCCTGAGGTGCTCCGTATCTCAGTCCATCCATGGGGAAAATAGGTGCTGTCAGCAACTCAAATATGACCAGAAACAGGAGTCTACAAAGATAGATTAAATAATGCCTATGAACCAAGACACCTGAGAGGTTGCCTCAGCACTGTATAACTCCCATGCTTCCTGTGCCATGAAAAGACCAGGGCACTAACCAGTGTCCATCTGGGAGCTGCAGCAGAGGTATTCTCTGCAGGCTGCTGCCTCCTCAGCTCTATTTTCAAGCTGGGCCTGAGCCAAATCCCTCAACCTGTATGGCTTGTTCCATCTGTGGTCTCTCACAGAGGGGAATTTTTGCAGCTGACAGAGTTAAACCTTGCTCTGACCCTGCCACTCCTCTCAGTGACAGTTTTTGCCTATTCAAGGTGGTGGTGTCCTACTCCAGATACTATTTGCTTGCTTTATTTCCCCTTCTTCCCTGTGGGGTCAGGAAACATTTATTTCATAAATATCTCTAAGAAGCTTAAAATAAGACTTCTCCCGCAAACTCATCCTATTATGTTTATAGCAAAGCAAATACAACGTCAGCTCCTGGCTGGGATGCAGCACTTGAATAGATGAGTATTAATTAAATACACGATTTAAAGCAACTGGAATTCTGCCCAAGCCTCCATAAAGAAATTACAGCCTATTTTAACACATTCATGCATTTCTTTTCTCTCTGTGTATATTCTGAAAACCAGCAGATAGGGGTGATTCCCTGCACCTTGCTCTAATATTTTACAAACACTAACTTGATGTCTAGGAGCAGATCTCCACAAAATATGAATTTTAGCCTCAGTTTGAATCTGGGAAACCTGAGGTGCATGAAGGCTAACTGGGATTTGTTCAAGATCATAAGAAAAGATTGTGACCTTCCTCCCATACAGTAGCATTTTGCTGTCTCTTGTCTATCCCATACTACTTTCATCAAGGTTTAATTTGTGATATAGTGAAGTAAGTGAGTTAATAGATGCAGACAGCATGAATTCACTTCAAAAATGTATGGTTTAGAGATCAGAGGAATTTGCTCCCCATGAAAAATTTGAACTGGCTCTTTGATTCAAATATAGAAATTGTGCTAGATGGTACAAACCCCAAAATCTCCAGTCCATCAGTCTTCATTAAAAGTAACTTAAATACTAATATCCTCTTTCAAAAGATATCAAAGTAAACCTGTTATGTATAGCTTTATTTTCCTTCTCAGAAGTGAGCTATGATAATAAGCACTGTAATAGGATTGTTCTGACAGCTTTAGGATCTTCTAGCATGGGCTCTTCACTGACTGCAGAAGTATTGGAGTCCAGTTTCCTTTCTACAAGCTCAGCTATCCCACTAAAGACACAGCTTTGCTTTTGCCAACTGCAGAGCCTTATAGGAGTGCATCCGGGCAGGTAATATCTTTCTGCTCAGTTCTGTAGGGGTGATAAACTTCATTCTAAAAGCTAAGGAAGAGAAATATTCCAATGGAATATATGTCCTATTTATCTTCTTTTATCTTATCTGCTTATCTTTTATCTTATCTGCTTTTTCCAAAAGCAGACTATGCACATTATCCATTTAAAACTATGCAATAGAAATCATTAAATCAGATGTTTTGGTCACCTACCTCAACTAGTACAAACTATAGTTTTGAACTATATAGTCCAGCTGCCTGTGCAGTTCAAAGATAGTCCAAAAATGAAACTTCATAATCTTAGTAGTTTACAAGTTAGAAATGTTGCAGTAAGAAAATTGTACCTCCATTCTTCTTGAATTTCCTTTGAAAGCATTCTGCCCATCTTTCAAACTTCTAGCCTAAACTTTGAGCTTTTCCATCCCTGATCTTCCTCACTCATGGTCTCACTAAATTTGGCCTGTTTGTCTCACAGACTGTCTCCATAAACGAATACCTATTGCTGCTTTGTTTTTCCATCAGTTCTCTTCCACACTGGCAGCTCCCAGGCAGCACAAGGCTGGGTGACCCAGGCTCACCACTGCCAGTACACACCACATGTATTGCAGATTTGCATCTTTTCTCACTCTACAGGTGTCACTTGTGTTTTTGATGAAAAGCAGAGATTCTCATTCTATTCATATCACAAAATATACCTTTAATCTTTTGTCCGAGTAAAGGTATTTCTGAAAAACACATAAGTGTTTTTTTTTCCTATATAACATTACTGTGTTTCTACATAAATTGGCTATGTGCCCAGTTGTCCCTGTGCATATTGCAGCATGCCTTCCAAATTTAAGAGCTGCATGATTCCTGCCTCTTACTTTTTCTAGTGCTAAAAAAACGCCAGCCATTTTGTGGGGTGTGGGTTTCCAAAGTATATTTTTTAATGCATTTTATTCTTACTAACCATTTCTAGTATTTTTAGCAGGCAGGTTACATATTTTCAGATTGTCAGTTATATTCTTGGAGGCATATGTTTCAGTTATTTAAGTTTGCATAGAAGTTGGAAAAGCTCAGTGAGACACCTCAATACTGTCGTAATTGTGCCTTTGGTGAGGATTTACTTAGTAATATCACTGCCTACATAGTACATATGAGTATCTGAACCAGGGCCCCTGAATTTCTTTTATAGCCTGTAATGAATTAATCAATATTGCCACTAGAGTTTGCCTTGAGTCATCTTGCTCTAAAGCAGAAACCCATATGCAGCCAGATGAATCATCTGGACTCCGTGGACTGAATCCACAATGTGTGTGATGGGAAGTTGGGCATGATACCCTTCTGTGGCCACCTACAGCAAGATGTTGCCAGAGATTGGTGCTACTTCAACTCTGTCATGGAGCTGTACTCTGTGGTCTCTTGAGAGAAAGGTATATGACTAAGACTGTTACCTTCCTGATTCCTTGTGATGAATCCTTTCCAAAAGCTGATTGCCTCCAACTTGAGGAAGAAATGCTAGTTTAAACCAGTTTAGGATCTGACCCATTCAGTTCTTAGCCTTAAGTATCAGGGATTTCAACCAGAGCCAATTTATCAGGCAGAATTTTTCATGTAATATGAATTGTAATCAAACTAAAGATCTCCTCCTTTCTTAAAATATCTTGATATACATGGAGTCTGTCAAGGCAGACTTCAAAGTTTCATGTCTCTTTCAGCAGGGCAAAGATGGGTACCACCACAGGTACAAATGTTCCTGAGTATGCCTGTCCTTAGTTTTAAAGGAAACTTAGTACCTCTTGGGACATCCTGGCCAAACCTGGAGTGCTGTACATGAGTCTAAATATGTTTAAAAAACTTGTATTTTCATATGTGTCTGACAAGAAAAGCTGCTTGATTAGGTGGTGTTTGCATTTTGCTTTGAGAAATGAAACCATATTCTTAGGCCAGCTCATCCTATGGCAGCCTAAAGTGAATAAAACCTGGTTTGAGCTGACAAATTCCAAATTAAGCCAGACAACACAAGTAGTTTCCATATTATTGAACAGGTAATGTTTCTGACAGAGGTAGACTGATTTTGATCCTGTAGCAGAGGGAATTACTAGTTTTGTGCTTCACCTGCTCTGATCTTGGAAAAGGAGGGACCTTTCTAATTTAGCAGTTAGGAAAAGGAACAAAAAGGAGAAGAAGCTATTGCACAGGAAGCTGAGCATGGCCTCTGCTCTTCCTGTGTGAAGAACACTGTGCTGCCTCATGGCTAGCTGAAAGCAAGAGGGGTCCTGTGCTGTTGCTCTTGAGATGGGCAGAGAGCAGGAAAATTCCCACCTGCTGAAATATGCTCTGAAGACCTCACAGCATGCTCTTCTGCATGCCACCTGCTGGAGTTCCCTGTCAGAAAAATGTTTCAGTTGCTGAGAACTTGTCTTTGCGACTGGAAAATGAAGGTGATCTGGGTTTGGTTCATTCTGTGGAAGAGGTTTCACACATTTCTAAGTGGGTCTACAGGGTATTTCACTCAATTTCTCTCCAAGTCTGCTGTTTTCCTGGAGTTAGATACAGCATTCTTCTCCCCTTAGCTTCTTTTTCGGGTCTGAATTCATTGGGGTACATTTCCATAATTCCAGGCCAGTTTTCTTCTGGCCAAGCCTTGGCATATATCACTGATCATGTGTAAGGGAGAGGGAACTCAATATAAGGGAGAGGCAACTGGATGCACAGGGGTGAAATCAGCTTCCAACCTATGCCCTGCTGGCAGTAGCACTCAGGATGAGGAAACAGCTGAACTGGCTGAAATGCACTGCTTTGGTTAGTGTAGAGAAGCGCAATGAAACCATCTGATTTCATGAATGTCAATATTTTAAGCATGTAGGGGTTTTTGAATTATTTTCCTGACTCCTCATTTCTGTTACAGAAAGTGATACAACATTATTTCCTTCAACAGAGAAATCCCTGAGCTAAGGTGTGATGTATACGTAACATACCAGCAGCATCAGAAGGAGACCGTGTGGGTTTTAATGAGGCTTGCAAGTCCTTGATCTAAACCAAATTTATTCTCAAACTTCACACAACTGTTTTAACAAAGTTACAGCAAATTCCCCTCCCTACATATGTCCAAATCTCATAATACCTGAAGACAGTGAGAGGTCCTTTCCCCCCTGCAGCTAAGGCTCAGCGCTAGGGTGGTTTCTTGCTCTGCTATTAATGTGTCTAGACTGGTTGCTGAACCTTACTGCTTACCATCCAAGAGATCACCTTGAGGTGAGGCTCAGCAGGGGCATAACAATCCCTGTATGAATGCTCCAAGGCTGTTGCCAGTACAAAACAAAGCAGAACAGCTAAAAGCACCTTTGGTGATGGTGAGTTCTTGAACAACCTCAGGTTATTGCAAATTAATACCTGGCTTCTCTCCAAATTCAGGCATGGCTGGTCATCAGTTCACAGTATATAAAAAAAGCTCTTAAACTGGCAAGGCAGATTGCTGGAGGAAGGGACTTGATGGGTATCTGCAAAGATGCATCCTGCCTACAGGCCTAGGGTTTAATTTCTGCATTAGTGGTTGGCCTGAGGCCCAGTGCTGTGTTTATACTCAGAGCACATACTGCCTCGCACAGAAGAAGTGGCTTTTAGAATTTACTGAAGCATCAGGAATTAGTAACAAACTAGCATTCTGCGTCTCCTCCTCAGTTTAGGCAAAACTCTGTAAAGGCCAAATCAAGAGCTTTTTACCAAAGACCCATTCCTAGAATTTACCATTACTCTGCTGCAAGCTGGGACAGAGCCCTGAGGATATTCAGAGATCTGTGTGAAGACCCATGCAAAAAGGATATTATCCACAAAACACACACTTAAAGGTAACTTGTTTTTGAAGTTAAAGAGCTTAAAGTTAACCAGGTAACATCTTATACCAGTTATTAGTGCAGAGAACTTCACTAACTATTCCATTCTGAACACAGCCTGTGAATGTCTGATACCAAACATATCAACCATCACTGCTACCTCCAGTGTGAATATTGCCATGCCAGCTGTATCATAAACGTTGTTCCTTTGATACATGGAGAAAGACCCACAGTGGATACCATTGCAGTAGGAATTCTGTACCTGGATTTCCCTGAGCCATGGAGTCATAGATGAGTTTGCAGGTCTTCAGCAAGATGGCAATTTTCTTTTCTGGAGAATAGGTCTTGTGCATGGTTGTGAACTTGTGAAGGATCTTTTCCAGCACAGCAGTTTCAGGCACACTGGTTGTGACACCCAGGTCAGTGGTAGTTGTGTTTTGTATCACAAGTTGGTTCTCTTTCAGCTGCTGTAAAGATCCATCTTTGTTGTGTATTTCTTTTAAGGAAGAATTAATGGCTTCCTTTAGAGGTTTCAGGACACATTTGTACAAAGCTGTCTCAGCAATCACTTCTGCATAGAGAAAGAACACAAAAGCATATAATAAATAAGCAATTTATTTTATTACAGTAAATTTATTTTATTACAGTAGTACAGGCGCAAATAAAAGTCCCAAGGAAGCGTGTGGTTGGTTATTCAAGCACTACTACATAGCTGTGAGAAGGGAACAGAAACCCAGTAAGTAAACATTTCATTACCAACCCTATTCAGAAGTCCTAGATGGGCTTGAGATGAACATCAGTGTGTGGTCTCTGTCACTGGAGCTGTAGGAGACCTCCTGCTACCAGCAGTCCCTGTTCTCTTTGCCTGACCCCTGGCTGACCAGCATGGCATTGCCAGGCAGCAGGAAAGCCAACTCTGGGGAGAGAAATCTCACCTAACCGATTTTTTTTCACAGCCCTGGCCTTACAGATGCCCAGATGCAATTCATCTCATGTCCCTTCTGATCTCTCCTTCTGACTTGTTTGAGATATTCACTTTGGGATGAAATTAACTGCATCCTTAAAGAACCCCTTTCTTTCCTCAAAGCATTTGCAGCCACCAGCTCAGAGACAGACACCAGTATCTGGTCAGAGCTTCTCATTGTTATTGCCCAAGGGACTCTAAATTGCTGATCTTTTAAGACACCTCTTATGCCACCTGTGGAGGAGGACATAGTATGATGTGAGGACCCTGGGGGGCATTACCTTGGTTTAATAAGACACAAGAAGCTTCCCTCAAAAAGCTGTTAGACCCTATTTGCTCCTTTCCCTGTTCCTATGTCTGTTCCTATGTCCCTGAGGCACTCCCTCCCTATTCCCTGACTGGCCTCATCTTGGTACTGTCCCGAGACCAGGTTCACCCCCCGGACCCCTGTGGAGAGAGGAGGGAGAGCTGAGACATGTGAGTGCTGGGGCAGCTCTGAACATCTCACCGCACGCTGAATTAAACATCTGTGGATACCATGAAAAGGCCCTTTCTGCTTCTTTACCCTGGACTTTACTTGTAGCAGTTCAGGCTGCTACAGTATGAGTATGTTGAAAATTTGCTTAATATTTGGCTGAAGATGAAAGGAAGCTTAAGAGACTGTGAGGAAGTCTGTTGTCCAACACCTAAAAACCAGAGGCAAAACTAGGGGGACTGCAAGAGATTCTCTTGTTGCACTGAGACAAAAAGGTCGTTAGCAAAAGAGTTCATCTGCTCAGGCAGTGAGTGAGGAATGAAACAGAGAGCAGTAATATTTATGTATCCCAAATGCAACTATTTACAAAAATCCAGAGAACCAATCAGCCTGAAGCAGGGCAAATTCAAGTGGTAAATCCTCCAGTGGGAATCCCTTTCCTCCACAGAAGAAGACAGTCCTGTCAAGGTTGACTGGGCTACATCCTCCTGTTAAAGAACTGTCGGTGAACAGGGTTAGATGCAGGGTCACATCCAGGCATGTCTGTGGGAAGGTGGTGGGATACTTGCACACATACAGCTCCACTAAACAGAACAAGGACACTTCTTTCTTCCCTCTTTCCACTTTCACTAATCAAGATTCAAGACAAACTTCTCTGTGCTGCCCCCATGCTCCCCACCTTGAAGAAAGGTTGGTTATTGGGACAAAGATTGAAGGTGTTACACAAGGTGCATGAGAAGTGAAACTGCCGGTTCCGTCTCCTAGCTATGGCAGGGGCTGGCTGCAGGTCTGTTCTGCTGAGGATCTGCAGAATCATGTGAAGCCTTTGCTGTGGGAGAATGAAATCAGCAGAACCCACTGAGACTGACAGTGGACAGCCTTTACTCCTGGCTCACCACTTAGCTGAGTCCCACCTAATGCTGGAACTGCAGGATCTCCTGGAATCCCTGGTCACTCCTATAGTTCACTCCATATTCTGGGTCTTCCAACTCTCAGCTTGTTTTAAGCCAATTTAAGAATCCACAAATAGCTCTGCATTGGTTCTCAGGTCCTCAAGAAACAGTTTCAAGCATTCAAAGGAGCATGTGTGCGTGTGCATGCATGCTTTTTCTGGCTGCACAGCTTTCACTGGGATGGAAAGTCCTACAGCTCTTTTTATATTCCCTCTTGGATGTACATTAAACAGAACAGTCCAATCCTTGGCAAGGAGAGAAGTAGCACATTATTTCCTCACAGGACATGAATGAGAAGCAATGAAGCACCTGTAAACAGTTTAAAATAATATTTTTTCTCCCCAAAGGCATTATTTATCCCCATAGATATTATTATACCTATGGCAACGAGGTGAACACTTAATTTTGGAGCTCGCAGTAGTCTTGCAACAGACATTTCTTCTGTACCTCTGAGCTCTGAGGAGCACAAAGATGAATCAAATCATCCTAGTCTTGTCCCTTCCTGTGAACAGTGATTGACTAAGCTGTAAGTCACATGCAGGGAGTGCTCCATCCTTGTAGCAGAGCAATGGATGTGGAAGGCCATGGGAATGCAGCTGTGAAGGGGAAATTTGCTTTTTGTGTTTCCAGTGAATTCAGCTCTGTGTGTGCAAACCTATGTGTATACATAAACATACACACACACACACACACACATGCATATCTATAATACACACATACATGTATGTCTCTCATGCATGCACACATCTTTTCTGCTTAAACTCTTCTGTTTAAAATATTCATAAAAGGATTTTCTCCTTATTGGTCTCCAGGTTTTAGAGCTGTTCTTCCAAGGGCTGGCAACAACAGAGCAGACTTCAATTCATGGTGCTCAGGTTTTAGGAGATGGTTTATAAATCTGTAAAGCAGAGCCTGTGCCTGCATAATTCTTTCTCCCTCCTCACATTTCCAAACCATGCCCAAGGATGAATAAACCACAGTTACCTACCTAACTGTTCCTCAGTGTAGGAGGCTGGGTCTATCAGCGATTTCAACTCAGTGCTCTGTACTAAGTAACTCTTCAGCTGCGTCATCATCAGCCGGATCTCTTGTAGCATCTCTGTGCTGGAGCTCTGCTTTGCCATCATCTCTAAACTGTACACTCTGTAGTCCCGCACCAGGTTGCCAAAGTATGACTCCTTGTCCTGTGCCAGCTCCACTATCTTCTTCTGCAGCTTCCTGTCACTAGACAAAAAGACCGTGAAGACATTGGACAGGTTCACCAAGGACAGCCTGTTTTTGGCCTTGGCCAAGATCACGGAGCGTGTCTTTTTACCAGATGAACCACTCAGCATCTCCAGGTCATCCTCTGTGCTGCTGGTGGAGTAGGAGTCTGGCTCAGATGTTGATGCCTGAGCCATGGTGCTGCCTCCCAGGTCCTCCAGGGACAAGCGTGACCCTTCCAGTTCAGCTGAGCTGACAGATTTGTGGCCATGTCCCTGTTCAGGCTTGCTGTGTGCCCAAGTGGCACCACATGTCACTGTAGCTGGACTGCCCTTGCACACAGCCTGCCCTGTGGCCACGGCCGTCTCTGCTGCTGTTCTTTGCTTCGGCTGGCAGGAGCTGGGGATGCTTGGTACCTGGGAAACTCTCTTCCTTCTCGGTGGTGGGATAGGAGGCGACTTTCCTTTCTCAGTGGCATTGCTTTGTGTCTTAGGCATGTCCTCCTTCTTCTCTGCAGGTTCAGGCTTTGTCTCCTGAAACTGTGATACAGCCCTTTTGGGAACCTCCCCAGGCATTTCTACAGCATTTTCACACAGCAGCGTTTTATCTCTGCCCTCTGCACTTGTATCTTGGTTTTCTTCTGTCCCTTCCCCTTTCAGCGTTTCACAATTTTCAGGATTGCCCACACAGCTCTCCTCTGAGGTTCTCTCACTCAGCCGCCTCCGCGGGGGAACCGAGGGCTGGGAGCCCTTCCTGGGGCTCACTGCCGAGGGCGCGTTGGCCGAGCAGCTCTGCTTCCTTTCTTCTTTATCGGCACTGCCTTCGATTTTCATTTCCTCGAAGCTCTTTCCTAGTGGCTTAATAAGAAGCTTGTTTTCTTCACAGACAGTCATGGGGTCCTGTGAGAGCTTCAGGGAAGATTTCTGAATGAGAGAATGAGAAGGTGGAGGGGGAGGAGGCCGTCGAGGAGACCTCCTTTCAGTAATCATGGTGGCAGGAGGGAGTTCAGTGCTCCCAGAGTGGCCTTTAGGAGAAGGTATATCTGGAGGGCAAGGATTACTGCACTCTTCTATAAAAATAGGATTCACAAACCACAGCCTGTCATTTCCTATTGACAGCTCAATTTCACATGAGCAGTGGTTTGTGCTACTTGCAAAACACTGGGTTGGTCTTAAACTGTCTGCCTGAGCAGTGCTGAAAGCATAGTCTTTTGCAGGGTGGGATAAGTCCTGTCTTCTATGGTTTAAATAGGAATCCCAGAAATCTGTCAAAAAAAAAAAAAAAAAAAAAAGAAAAAAAAATAAAAAAAAAAAAAAAAAAAAAAAAAAAAAAAAAAAAAAAAAAAAAAAAAAAAAAAAAAAAAAAAGACAAAAAGACAATGAAAAAGAATATCTGAAAGAATTTTAGCTGCTACTGATATGTAGAAAATCTACTTATTTTTAAAATAAATGGTACACAAATTTCAATGTTAAACTTTCAAACCTCTGCCCAAAACAGTGTGAAGAAAGAGTTACCTGTTTTATGCATATAAAATTCTTCAAGTCAGAAGCTTCACCAGAATTCTCTCCCCTGTCAATTTTAGGACACTTACCTAGTGGAAGTTATTAATGCTCTTCAGCATTTTCAGTACAAGCAGGAAAGTACAAGTAACAAATATAAAGGATTGTGAAAAGAGATCTTTGCTTGTTCAGTGATCACTGCCCTCCAAATGCAAATAGCTGTGGCTGCCCCAGGAGAGGATGTGAAGACCCCAGGCAAACTGCATCTTCCTCTTGCTCACAACAGTGAGGTGCAGGTCTGAGATAGCAGCCAGGATCCAACATGCACCAGGAGACAGCTGAGCATAACTCTACTATGCAGCAAGCTCATGTGGCATTCTGTTCTACAGAGGGTCTGATCCTACCTGGCAGGATTCCCTCCAGTCTGGAAACACATGATTTTAAACACCTTCCCCAGATTAGTATTACCATTAAAGTCTATAGTTCTGGATAACTGTTATCTATAGTCGTGGCCACTCTGCCTTGCACCTTGCCTGGAGACTGTCTTCCTGCAGGTGTCAGAGAGAAAGGATGATGCAAAAGACTACACAGGAAAGATGTATGATGAAGGACCAAGGAACAGGTAACTACTTCAGTGCCTTCAACTACGACTGAAAAAGAAAGATGGTGTTTCACATACAAGCAGTTATTTCTGTCAGAAATCTCTTATTATAATTTGTCTTTTAATAACTTGTTTAAAAATTACAAAGCATTGGTACATTTTTTTAAAATAGATTCAGTATCATATCCAACTTTTTTCCTTTTCCCTGAAGGTGAGGCTTCAAATCTGCCTTACAGGTCTGATTGCTTTCAATCAATATTAAAGCTGCTGATCCAGGGTTCAGTACTGGAAGCATCAAGAAACAGGATCTGGCAAACCTCATATGTTCTGACCAAGGAAAAGGGTATAAACTTCTGATAGTATTCACTGGATGAAAGCTGTATAGATGCCCATAGATTTAGGGATAAGGGGAAGATGGGAAATCCTGTAAACACAAAGATGCAGACAACTAAATAACTATTTTTCATGTTTGGTCCATAAACACAGAGCTGACACTGATGACACCCTCTTCTATGTGGATTTCAGGGGACACCATGGGGCTGCCACACAATGTCTGAACCCTGCCTGGTGCTTGGTGTCAGGAGTGTCTCCCTGCCAAAATCTCACATGCTGGACCCAAGAGAGGATGAATGGGGCTGCACACATGTGGGATGACCCTCAGTGCTGAGCATGGGGTACAGCTCTCAGGTCAAGAAGTGAGCTAAAAGGCAGTCTATTCCCATCAGGATAAAATTGCCTATTTAGCTTCTCGCAGCCTAGGCTAGTGCCCATGGTAAATTCAACTTTATAAGCATGTCAGCATGTTATCTTAGGGTGATGGACATTAGAACAGCTTTATTCTCTCTTTTCTTACTGTGAGAGGGAGGACAACAAAGAAGCTTAAAATAATAGTGTTGCTAAGAACAACAGCACTCTTGACAACAGAATTTGGGAGAAGACATGCAGATGCAACTGCACATACTAATACCAAGCTGCAAACCCCCTCACATCTGACACTGACTGGGGTACCATTTTCCTTAAGCTCTCCAGCTCTACGCAGTATCAGCAAATGCAGGACAGAGGAAGTTGTTTCAAGCCAGAATATAATGCTGTGAAGTCTCATGGGCTGAGGAAATGGTGAGTAAACCAATCTAAGAGGGGAAGTTGGTAATTTTTCTCAGTAGTGGTCAGGATAAGGCACTGTGATGAAAATGCAAAGCTCCACTCAGGCTGGGAAGGAACAGATGTGGTTCTACCAAGTAACACAGCTGCTTCAGAGCAGGCATTTCCCAGCACAGCCACGCTGTCTCACACTGGAGAGGAGGCCGTTTGATCATCTCCCTTTGCTGTCCTGGATCTTACCTTATCTTGCACTCTGGGAAGGATAATTAAGAAGTTCTTGGAGTCTTTGGCATGTCTATGATGGTATGTGGTATGCTTTTAGTGCAGTGCAATCATGCTAATTCTCCTCCTAAAAGAACTTCTGTACCAGTGAGGTCAGGACTAGAGAGCCTGCAGTACATCCTCTGTGACAACATACAAAACAGCCAGATCCTTTGTGGAAGAATTCATTTTGCAGATAGACATCTTACTTCTATAGCCTTGAAATACATATTATTTTGAAATAAATACAAAGAAACATATAAGAATTTCAGACAATTCTTTGTTTCCTTTGGAAGTGCCACTTTGGGCAGCATGTAATAGTTTGTGTTCACACTCGTATTCAAAAAATTTTGTTCCAGGAAGCAATAAACAGCATTTGTAAGCAGCTGAGCCTGTTTGATTCCACTAAGACACATTTGCACTTCTAGTATCATTTCCCAGGAAGACTGCACACAACAGCAGGTTTTCTTCTATTGTCAGAAACTTGACTGGTATGAAATACACCATGACAAATAAATTTTCAAGCCTCGCTACTTTTATGACCACCAGTACAGGAGAGAAGAAAAAAGATTACAACCAATATTGCTTTAGTGCTTGTGCTTTAACTTATCTCTTCTTTCACAAGTTGCTGGAAACAGTTGCCTGAATCAAGATACCCTCTGCTGACTCAAATTAGACTGAAGGTTGCAGATTCATGATACACATCCTTAATTTTAATCTGAATTTTTTGACTTGTTATAAAAAATTAAGCGTGCAACTTGTTATCTCAAGCTGAAAAGTACCCTTTTATCAGCAATAAGTGCTGGCTGGACATCCATATAAAAGGATGCTTTGACAAATTGGAACATACTCAAAATAGAGGATGATGAAAGTGTTAGAGGCAAATCTGTTGGTGAAATTCAACAAAGCCACCTGAACTGAAACCAGTGGGGTTTGCCCATGCCTTCTGGGAGATATGATGCAGAAGACCCAAAAATAGTGAGAGTGCTCTAATAAATATCTCTAAATGAGCTAACTCTTCAATTTTCTCCATTGTTTGGCTGTTTTCAACACCGTAAGGAAAACTGAAAAACCAAGAAGCATGGAAGTGGCTTACTGAAGTAGCTGTCTCAAGAGGAGTGTGTTAAATGAAAAGGAATAGAAAGGAGATCTCCTTTCATTAACAATTGCTTTTTCTATCTGTAACTTTATACATCTCATCTAAAATTTGCTTGTTTGGTTGTGCCACTAAAAATAATGTCCCTTTTGCATGTGATTTGTGTAAGGTGAGAGAACATATTGGGACGATACATATTTCTCTACCAACTAGAAATCCTGCAGGAGCAAGCAAAAATATCAAAATTCAAAAATATCACACTTTCATCAGCATTGCCCCCACACATCAGAAGGAGAAGTTGCAAAGGTGTTTTCCATATAGCTCAGATACCAGCCACTTCCAGCATGTAGAAGTTATCCCGAGAGGCTGTGCTGCACTTCAGCTTACCCAGACTGGAGGGAACACGCCCTGGACAGAGATCCAGGTGGAGGTTTATGGCCAAGAGAAAAGTGACCATTTTGTCAGCATCCTGCTATGAACACAAAGTTCATAAACATCTTCCTCTTGCATTCAGACCCCTTTAGCTATTCTGAAGACAATAGTTCATCTATCTTCCAGTTGCATTATTAGTCTGTGCAAGGCACTATTGTTCTCACAAGTCCAAGTGAAAATCTGACTGCTTTGAGGGACTTACCTATCCCCAGACTAGAAATAATTTCAAGGTCTTGAAAGCTACTGGCTTCTAATATTGCTTGTGGCAGCTTCAGGGTAAAGGGCAGCAAATCCCTGTAGAAATAAACACAATGAAAAAACGGAAAAAGGATAAACCCCACAACTGTTAGGAACTCCAGACTTCACTCGATTTTAGTGATTGCATTGGCTCACAATTTCAGCTGTGTTTGGCGAAGTCATGGCTGGTAAGGAATTATGGACATTGTGCCAGCCTGGGTTACTCTGATTTCACAAAAGATCACCAGCTTCTGTGGTGATGCTTCATGCTATAGCACTGACTTAATCACTGTGCCTTAGCTCTGTCCTCTGAAAAGAGCAGAAATGCCTCCACCTCAGGGAAGGCCACAAGGGTTGAGAAATACATTCCCATTAAAAGTGAGGTGCTGCAAATTCTAGTTATTTTTATTAGAAAAGCCAATCTTTTTCATGTGGAAAGGTTTTGAGGTCCTTTTTCTTTCTGTTTACCCCTCTCTCACTACTCTACTTCCTCTTTTGAAAATCTCTGTAAGTGCGAGGCATGGCTATATAGCAAGACACAGAGGGATTGTGAAAGGAAAGCCCTACCTGGGGAAGGGTAAACCCTGGGTGAAGGGACAGACAGTAAGGAAGTGCTGCATGACACCGAGGACACACATATCCCTCTAACTCTCTACTCTCAGAATTCTGAGTACTTGGTTTCTGGAAAGATGCTGTATTTCTATGACAAAAAAGATAAGAGTTTCTCAGAGGATGTTGGGTGGGTTTCACTGAAACACACCCTGTCTCAATTTAACAGAGCCCTTGCTCTGCCAGTGAGCTGTTCAGGTTTGCCTCTTGCCCAGTGAGAATTTGCTGACCTCGCTCTTGCCTCAATTCCCATTCTAACAAGGACTAGAAAACCAGTCCGTAAGTGATAGCAAGGAATGGTGAAGGATTATCTTACACATAAAAAGCTCTACAAAATATACATGATAGAAGGAATTGTTACAGAAAAAACTGGCCTTGTGAGTAGGAGGTCTCTGCTAAACAAATGCACACTGCAAAAAAGCACGTAACTGCAGACCTCTCTGTTGACAGATGAATGCAAGGGGCCTATTTCTGACCTTTTAGACAGACACATACCTTACTGATGTTTTGTGTTCTCCATGGGTTCTCTGTGCACTGCTGAGCACTCTGCTGTCACTCACATAAACTGATGGAATCCCTGGCTTATTATTTTTTCATGGCAGATATGAGGTTTAGAAGAGGAAGAGGAAGAGGGTCCATGTACCTTCTGCTTTCTTTGTTGTTTTATATGCATGAATAGATCTCTTCTTTTTCTTTTTTCTTTTTTTTTTTTTTTTTAACATATTAAGATCAGGAAGTATTAGGACATTGCCCTAATAGAAAAAAATCTGGTTTAGTTAACGGGGCAGAAGCTTGCAGACCAGCCACCAAATCATCTGTTACCTACAGACAGGTAATATATCCAGGCCAAAATTTTTTTGAGAAGAGCCTGTCAGCCCTGAAAAGCTGTTTCCAGCTATTCATAGACAATTTACTACATCCCTGTTCTCAGGGCTCTGCATTCACCTTCCCAGAGAGCGCCTATGAACTGCCAGCAAATGGTAGGTCAGTGTCCTTTTATTACCTGCTTCTCTCAGAAAATTATTCCCTTTTTATCTTGCCTTTTGACAGTAGCCTGGAAAATCACATGAACCATCTGAATATGTATTTGACACTCAGCAGTGATATCTATAACAGGAGCTGAACTGATGCCTTGTGAAGGCTGACCTAGAACAGAGGCTAGTCAAAGAATAAAGTAGGGATTTATTAAAATGCCTCAGTAGATCCACCTTGGGCAGGACAAGAGCCCAGCCAGGGCTACACGCAAGATGAACCCAAAATGGTCACAAAATGGACCTGGTCACGAGGCCTCTCATTTTTAAAAGTTCTGGTCCATTTGCATATTGGAATTAATTGCCCAGTTACAGCTTTAGGTTGTGAAGTTCCATCCCTCTTGCTTTTCTTTCTTTAGTCCATGTTGTTTATGTTCTTGGGCCTGAAATTTGGGTTGGTTGTCCTTGTTTCCAAGCTAGGAAAGGAATTATTTTGTCTACCTACTCTGTGAAGACAGATTTCTATCCCTTAATATGAAGCTTAGAACTACACACTAAAGAGGTACAGAATCTGAAAAATATAAAAGCTCAAACCTGAGGCATCAAATCTAATAACTCTTTCTTTCTTTCTTCTTTCTTTCTTTCTTTCTTCTTTCTTTCTTTCTTTCTTTCTTTCTTTCTTTCTTTCTTTCTTTCTTTCTTTCTTTCTTTCTTTCTTTCTTTCTTTCTTTCTTTCTTTCTCTCACCATGATCCTTTTTGCAGGAAAGCAGAAGTGAGCATATTTTCTGCATCACCAGCCACTTACTAGAAATGCCCAATTCTATTTTGCATTTGGGCTGTTCGTTGCTTTAGTGAGAAAGAAATCTTTATAAGGATCCAGAGGTTAACTTATGTCCATTCTATAGGGTCTATAAACATCTAGGTAGCTAAATGTCTATTAACTGATCAGGGTGAGGTGAAGCATGGTTTCCTCTGTGCAGGCAGGAGCTGTGGCTCCTAGTGCTGAACTCAGCTGGCTGCAGGAGCAGCTCTCAGAAGAGTGGGGGACTGGCTGGGTGAGCTGTAGCACACTGTATCCTACCCCAGAGAGACTGTTCCTACTGTGTGACCTAACCAAGTGACTGATGTGACTGCCTTGTAAACATATCCTGAATCTGCTTTCTTCTCTTAAAAGAAAATAACTACTTTAAGAGTCATGTAAGTTTATATAGAGGAAGTTAAAAGTCTACAACCAACTCACAGCTGGGCCGGCTGCAGTAGGGATGAGGTAAATTGGTGGAGGTATTGCTGCAGTGTGCTAAGCACAAGGACACAGATCAGAGAAGGCTTCAGACATCATCAGCTGCTGATCAAACCTTGCACTAGTGAAAATTACATTACAGGCCTTTTCCATCTCTGTACCAATTATTCTTGGTATTTCTGTGCTGAGCAAACAAACACTTTTCATTTCAAATTTTACCTAAGAAAATATATTGTTTCAGGAATACTTTCCTTGACAAATTCCCCATCAGTGACTAAGTGCTTTGAGTCACCAACAGGCAACAGTCCATCAGTAGGTTTGCTAAGATGCTGCCAGGGGTGTGTGTGTGTATGTGTATGTGTGTGTGTGTGTGTGTGTGTGTGCTTAAATCTCTAAATAAATATTTAACTCGGGGCCCTTCTTCCTCCTTGCTCTCCTAGCCTCAGTTATGTGCCTCTGTTCTTTGTGGAAGCAGCCCTATGGACCAAGCTTCCAGCTGCTGTGCATTTGAAATACTTTCAGGTCCGGCAGGCTGGAGGGTAGCAGAGGAAACAGAGGGGTCTGTGCTGGGACTGGGGACTGGGGAAGGGCAGACCAGAGGGGAGGGCAAAATGGCTGTGCCAGGAAGCAATGAATCCAACTCACCTGCTGACACAGTAGAAGGCGACCAATTTGAAAACATCTTCAAATACAAGGACAGATCCTTCCAGGTACAGGACTGGTAAAAAACAGAAAAAAAAAGCAGCAGCTGATTTATTTGAGCTATATGATTAAAAAAAAACCAAACAGGTAGGTTTGGCTAGCACATCTTGTGTTCTGTGACAGTCCAGTAATTTCATGGACTAATACGACAAATTGTAAGAACTGGCTTCAGATGGCCAAATGCAACAAGATTCTTCAGGGAGACACTAGAGAAGAAATAGCTCAGCTTGGCTTTCTGAAAAGTTAGTTCAAGATATCCAAGTGTTGTGACATTAACAGAAACAATGGGAAGAAAGAAACCTCCCAGCTCACTTCCAAAGGGATCGTTACAATCCCATCTGTCTCTAAGGGAGTGCATATCTGCAATACATACAGGGCTGACCTTGTGGCTCCCCATGCTGGAATCTGGTTTGGACTGGATGGACAAAGTGCTTTGAAGGAAAAAGAAAAATAGGAATTACTGTTTCATTACTGTGTGTGTGGGCTCTGACCTGGGTCACACAGGCAGTGTGAGCATAGCCTGTTTGTATCTCTTCTGTCTTCTCCCTCCCATGGTGTTATTCAGTGACTGCACTCCCCAAATACAATCCACCATATCAGAGAGTTCTTTAAGATGACCTTTCTTAAAGACATGCATTTGGGCATTGTGTAGCCCAAATCTCACATGTTACTACAGAGCTTTTGGCTTTTAAACTAGAAAAAATTCATTGACCAGCGGAGAATGTTTCACTGACTGAGAACCCAAGACAGAGATAAAGACCTGGATGTGCAGGAGAGATGTGTCCATCTTTGCTTCAGCCTTACAATCTCACCAACTCTATGCCTGTCTGTAGCCCCACTACAGACATTGACAAGGGTAAGGAAATCTGCGGTGGATTCTCAGAAATGCCCACTTACTGGTGGGAAACAACTATCTCAAAGCTGCACTCCAGAGCTGCCACAGGAGCATGCCAGGAGTCCCTGGGGAGCAGCACCAGCTCCCACCCCCATGGCACTGCCCACAGATGCTGTGCATCTTCCTTCTCTCTGTTCTAGGCCACAGGTCAGAGCTGTGGATTCAAAGCTGAGCTATTGTGATTCAGCTTCCTCAGTCAGCCCTGATTCACAGCCCTGTGAGCTGTCTCCAGCCCCTTGCCCTGCCTGCCTGGTGGTTGGTCTCCTGCAAAGAAAGGCCTCCAGCACCTGCAGGAAGCAGACATCCTCCTGGCTCTCCTCTCCTCTCCCTCGCCTCTGTGGCCTGGCTTTGTTTTCCAGACAGCAGATAATCTCCCAGCAAGGAAATGCTCAAGATTGTCTCTTGTTCAGGTTCATATCTCATTCCCCCAAATCAGGCATTTCCTCCTTTTGCTTCTCCCTTTGCTCTAGCTCAGGCCCAGCAGGTTGTTATTTTGGGCTGAATACTCCAATGTAGGCATTTTTTATAGAGACAAAGACCATGTAATTCTCAATAGTCATTCCTAGCATCAGTTTATGTTGGATCAGCATGAGCAGTTTAACCACAGTGTATGCACCCATACCAGACTGCAATGTGGAATTTAAAACATACTTCAAGCAAAACAATCCCTTTCCCTCACTTTTCTTTCACAACTGGAAAAATCATATTTGGCAATTTATTTTTTTTTTCATAATAAGAATCATATTTCAGTCAGGGATTTTCATTGAACATCTACCACGAACAACTTCTGTAGTTTGAAACCCATCTGCTTTGCAGTTCTGATACAGGAAACAAAAATAAAGACAAAACCCAGTCCTGTTCTGGAGAATGAACCAAATCCCAAGAGTCTGAATTTGCTTGAATCTCCAGCTATTAAATAAAGCCCTTTGTACAGATGATTGTTTTAAGAGAGTTTTTTTTTTTTCTGTCAAGAGCTACATGCTCACTTTGGCATTATGAGTTGCAGGTGTCCATAACAGACCAGGCTGCACCTGTACATGCTCACATATATGGGCAAATTGCTTGGATTGGGACTACTGATTGTTTCTGTGCCAGGAAGCTCTGCCACTTGGGAGCTTGTATGTTAGACAAAAAAATATTAGTCCGAGTGCCTCTGTGTCAGGAGTTTCCACATATAAGTGCCTTGCCATTGCACAACTACTTCTCCTCACATATATAGTTAAATTGCATAAAACACCACAAATGACCAGGAATTATACTGCTAAGGAAGACTAGGTACAAAAAGCTGCTGAAGCTCAAGGACAGAAGTTTTCTGCAGGTGGTATGTATAAATAGGACTGTCCCTGCTCTGGGATGTCCCAGAAGGTAACAAAACCAAGCATATTTCTCGGCAGACTGGAATTCATCATACAGAGACCTATAGCTCTTCTGGGACATTTCTGGGCAGCCTGCAAACAAGTAAGAACAGATGGAAGAACAGTAAGAATAGTGCTTTAGATGTGTCATTACTCGAGGTACTAAGACCATCAGGACCAATACTCAGCCCAAAATGTATTCTGAGCAGTGGCCATGTCAAGCAGCCTGCACAGGGTTGCCATGGCTACTTGGATCTGCTCCCAGCACAGCACCCATGGGGAAATTCTGCCTTGCAAACTCCTGTGGGGAACATCTTCCTTGGGAGAAAATGTAACACTTTTCTCTTAGCCGATTTTTTTTTCTAGACACCTGCTGACATCAGCAGACATCACTGATAAGAAGTGCTTTTCTTTTGGATGGCAGATGATGGCTATGATAGGAACTTGTCTTGTGGGAATGGTTGCCATTCACCTGTGGAGACCATTTTGTGCATCCTGCTGCATGTTTCTAATTCTTGGAAAGACACAGAAAATAGGAATCTTGAACAGCCAAAAGGCTGACTGTTTGGGTCCATATTTCTGTCCCTTAGAGCCATTGCTGCCTTCAAGTCACCCTGCTCTGAGAAGACAATCAGGAAGAGGTGATATTTTCTGGCTGTGGGTGTGTTGTGGGTAGCTGGGGACATTTCATTGACATGAGAACTGCTGCTTAGGGAGGGATCGTGATGCTGCCATTTATAGGAACTCATGACTTTTGCAGAATCTACAAGCAGACATCTGCCAGACTGCTGTAATCCTGATGAAAAGTGCAGAGAAAAAAATTTCACCTTTCTTGGGCTTGTCAAACTAGATCCAGGACACCTTAAGAGCAAGGAAATATCTACATCTCACCATAGCAGTGCCTGAATGTCAAGAATAGGATCAAAAGCAAGAGAAAAAATAGGCTGGGTTCTGTGAGCCAAACATATTGCCACAGCATATTGAGTTTTACCTGATATTTAGAAGCCCATTGAAAAATGTCACCTACAGGAAATAAAAGGGGAAATGTGTAGATCAGTGGGCAATTTTGAGTAGTCTGAAACAAAGAGATAAGAATTAATTGAATTTTTCTTATGGGTGACAGAAGCATTTGCAACATGAATTAGTGGTTCATTGGTGACTATACTCTCTTTTTGAGTTCTTTGGCAACTCAGTAAATGAACAGAACTTGGCTAGGTTATGAGCTGTTATATATATTTATGATTGTCTCATCTTCCTCTTTCAAACACCAGCGTGGTCTGAAGAGTGCCATCTTTAGGCACTGTCTCGGATCTGTATTCATATTCCCTTTACTCTTTGGATCTCCCCATAATTTCTCCATCCAGATGCAGATATCTTTGAGTCACACTGTCCCTGAGCTTTCCTTTCCTCTCTGATTTTTTCCCCACAGAATTGTGTTTGCTAGTTCCATTTTTCTGGTACATGGACAGACCAAGACATTTCCATTTTATTGCTTACACAGGCTCATGGGACTCAATTACTTCAGCTTCTTCTTCTCTAGTGGTGCTGTTCGTGCTATCCATTGTATTTTCATTTGTTTTTGGTATCTGTGTAGTCCTTCAGAGACATCTGAATTCAAAGACATGAATTCCTTATTCTGCAGCAGTTATGTCGACAGAGGACTACTGAGAAAACACCCATCCTCAGAAGTCCTGCCTGGATGTGCTTAGATGTTCTCATTCTTCCAAAATCTGGGAAACTGTGAGATTTATCATTATGGATGTGATTCCAGTTTTCTATTTCTATTTTCAGATTATAAATCCAGAGTCTCCTAACAAGAGTTGTTTTTCTCCTTTGATACAAGTCTGTGGTTTGATACCACAGTGGCCAACTTTTGCAATAAGCAGCACAGGCCAGCTTTGCTGCTGCTCTTCTACCCTCAGAGAGTAAACCTAGCTGTGAGGATGGGATCACTCCAAGGCAGAGGCTACCAAAATTCTTACTCCCAGACACTGACAGCTCAGGTTAGCAGGTTAGCAGTTTCCTGCCACTGAGGAAGGAGCCCTGAGTATTTCAGTGGAGTGTTACAGTGACTGCTGTAGCCCCAAAGCTGAGGCTGTTGTGTCTGTCACGATACACTGTGCTTGTCCTACCTGCTGTGCTCTGCAGAAATGTGTGAGAGTGTGATGTAATTCCTTCAGGTTATTGTTTCAGTTCCCCAGTTCTGACCCTTATTCATGCAATTGGCTCGTGGTGGTTTTAAGAGAAAGATCCTCAGTTGGATGCTTCTAAAGAAGGGAAACTAAGATTTCATTGGCAGAAGTCCTTAGTGTGTTTAAGGTACCTTTCTGCAACATCTCTGTTGGGAAGTTCCTAGTATTTGTTTTTAGCATTGTTTAGTGTGTTATTTCTTGATGACCTTGTGGATAGAAGTATATGGCCTTCTAATGCTGTGTTTTTCTAAAACACTGACACTGTTTATCTTTTTCTTCTGTTTTTCTTTTTTCTTCTCAAGGTCTTTTTATTTATTCTGTAATCTGATGCCTCTGCTTCTTCCACATGATTTCAAAGCTGTAGTTTCAGTTTTGGTTGCACAATTCTAGATTGTCCTAGTCAACCTATGTCTGTTTTGTCTTTCTTATCTTTCCTAATGTGCTTTATTTAACTGCCAGTTGTTTCTGGTTTTTTCCCTCATCAAGTGCTGAAACTTCACCCATTTGAACTTCTGCCCGAGTCTCCTGTTGTGCATCCAGCTCCTCCTTTTTCAAAAGATTTCAATTTTGTGGC